AAGCTTACATATCAGTGATATTACTCACCACCACGACCAAACAAGCCACAAATTCAAAACCTGACAATGGGCATCGCCACACCACTCTCGAAATGTGCAAAATGAGAATGAACTTCCCGCTAGTACATGGCCAGATGCACCCGCCAAATTTTTGTCTTTCTAACATTTTGAGAGTGGTGTGGCGAGGCCCGATGTTGCCTAGGGATGACTGAAAACAGCACACCACACTGACGAGTCAATGGTTTGTGTCTGTCACCCACCAATGTGGTCAGGCTTTGTGTGCTCAGACTCGTCAGTGTGACAGTGTGTAAGAATAACTGGACTACCCAGCCCGCATGGCTGCACGGTATAATATGCATGCAACTGTTTCTGAACTGATGATCAGCTAGGATTTCGAGGGAATCAGATGAGCGGAATAACATTAGGGGGCTACACCTGCAATGAGCCTCTCAGTTCACCACCAATGAGCGCACACAATCACACACCATGCACAAATGAGATCACACGAAGTTCACACTGGAGGCCAGATAGACGAAGACCAGGTAAGCGCGGCTTTAGAACTCAAACAAATTATCATGTGAGCAATTAAGAGTTTCAGTCACAAGCGCTCAACAGCGCAGATGCAAGTAACCAATATCTTCACTCAGGTGAATGTCTCTTCCCACTGCTCTTCTCTCATCCCTCTTGGTCTTCTCTCTGTCTACTACCTCCCTGTGTCTTCTCTCCCTACTTGCATGCACTCACACTCTCTACCACTCAAGGACCAACTCTGAATACACCCACTGCTGACTCTACTAACCCCTCTGAAGTCTACTACTAACTACTACCACTGGCGTAGCTATGGCTGCCTTCCCTCTGCCAGCGCTGGGGCAGCTATGGCTGCTCTCTCTCTCTCTCTCTCCCTCACAAAGTGCAGTTCCCTGGCTCAGCGCTTTGCTCCTCACAATAGCGCACAAGTGCACCAGCACTTCCACACTTCATGCGAATGAGCAATCTGCCCGAACGAGGAGGCTGGCCAGTCCTTATATTGACTTGGATTGCTCGTCCCAGCCTCTGCCTCTTCTGGCTTGACTTGGCACTGGTACCACATCCCCACGTCCTGTTTGCTTCAGAATGTCAGGGCCTGGTACCTTTCCCGAATTTTCATTGGTGTGCTGCTGCTTAGGCCTGGGAGTGACGACTCTTCACTTGTGAAACATGACTTTTGACTGTGGGTTGTGACTCTTGCCTCTGGGGCACGACGACTTTTGCTTGGGAAAGTGTCCTTTGCCTGCGGAACATGATTTTTCAATATGACTCTTCAATATGAGACGTGACTTTTGCCCCTGGGATGTGACTGTTCACCGGGTGCCTGTTGGACTTTACTCCTAAGGTACCCGACTGTGACTTCTCTGAAACTGACCTACTTGGCCTTCCTTGGCTTAGGCCTTTGACCCTGAAATTCGAATTTGGGGCCTGAATCGTGGAAGGCCTTTCACACCCCTTTAACCACCACTACCGCTGAGGCTCTTTTTGCCGAGGCGGAAAAGAGAGGCGTGCTGAGCTTCGCCAAAGTGCCCGCGCAAATTTTTTTCTCAATCCGTTTTGGCTGGTGCCACCAGCCATTTTGGTTCGGTGGCGCCCGACCTCCAAATAATAAAGCAGTATAGGTTATACGGAACTTATAGTCTTATACCGCATTCTTAGGAGGTTTCGAGTTTGCCTGTGAAAGGTAGTCGTGAACCTGGCTGGTGACTGTGTCAAGCTTGCTGTCGGGTTTTATCCAGCTATAGGTTTGCCACAGTTACCCTGGTTTCGAGTTTGCCTGTGGCAAACGGACCTGGATAAAACCCGACAGCAAGCTTGACACAGTTACCCTGGTTCGTTTGCCCACCAAAAGCTTTTTTTTTTTTTTTTTCCCGACAGAAGTGACAGAGTGAAGTGATTTCCAGATACCAACAATTGGCATGGCTCACAGACACCCCTGATTTTCAATGAAATGGTTGAAACTTGAAACCAGCTTTTCTGATCTTTTCAACGCATCTCAGTTCTCAAGCCTGAGGCATAATAACATCAGAATTCCATATCTTATTAATAACTTATTATGTTCAGTACGTACAATTTCACTGAGGAGGACATTTCTGCTGCGATTCTCCAGAGCGTTAGCGCCGACCGGTTAGCGCACATCACACAGCGCTAATCTCCGAATCCGCGCCGCACGCTTTTTTCCCACACGGGAAATTCCCGCCGCGCGTGCACACCACCACTTTTCGAACGCGAAGTTGAAGGCGGGAAACGGAGGAGAGGGATCGCATCGCATCTCGCCACGACTTCAGACTGCACCGCACAGGACAGCAAGAGACGAAAAGTGACGGGATGAGAAGGGGGAAGTTTTAGGTGGAAGGGAGGAACATCGAGAAAAGGAGAAGGAGAGAGTTACTAGAGTACCAAAAGACTAGGGAGACAAGGACTGGCCAGAATCAGGAAAAGACAATCGAAGGAGGGAGAAGTCTGCAGGGAAAGAAGGGGAAGAAAGGGAACGCGATACGAAAGGAGGGAAAAGACCGGAAGGTGAATGTACATGCGGGGAGCATCATAACCTCCAGCTAAGAAGGAGAAAGGACAGCGGGAAGGGAAGGAAGGGAGAAAACACGGAGACAAGGTCGGCACTAGAAATAATAACGACACCCCAGCCCTAAGAATAGCAAGGAGGGGAAAGTCACGACAAACATCGTCCAACCAAGCCGCGCCCAAGGGCGCGGCACTCTCCATTTTCCCTTTCCAGGGATGTCCAGGAAGGAAAGAATTTGGCCGAGTATAGGGGCGAGAGGGAAGCGAGCTCGGAGAAGGGGGGAAGGGAAGGCGAGAGAGGAAGGGGAACGCAGAAGAAAGGAGAGGACCAAGGGAGAAGAGGAGCGAAACACCCAATCGAAAGCCACGGACCAGAGCGAGGGTGAGAGCGGCAGGGGAAGCGAGTGGGAGAAAGAGACAAGTAACGACGAAGGAAGGAGCGTACAGAAGCCTAGCAAGGACTCTCGAGGCCAGAGCCAGACAAGGTTAAACTCGCCCACCCACTACCAAAACAAGTAAGGTAAGATTACAGGGAACAACAACTCATCACTCATTCCCGGAAATAAACAGCGGCAAGGGGAGCTTCAACCACAACGGGAGGAAAAGAGCAAAAGAGGGGGCAAAAGCAGGCGGAGGAAGGGAGAACCTACACAGGCCAGAAGCCAGAACTAGCTACCAGGAGTTAGGCACCGCAATGGGGAGGCGCTGAACACAGGGGTAGAAAGCAGGACCAGACAGCGCAACCAAAGCAAATAGACAAAGGAGGCGTGGAAGTGAGCGGAAGGCTAGGAAGAAGGGGAGAATAGAAAAAGATCACTGCAGCGGTCTACAAAACAGCAAACGAGGGATAGAAAGCGAAGGAAGGTAGGAATAGACCAGAATAGGAAAGGGTGATTCACATACGGACAGGAGGATCGAACAACAAGCAACGTATAGGGGCGGGTAGGGGAAGGCAACGAGACAGCGCAGGAATTGATAGCAAGAAGCAACACGAACAATTGAGAGGCCTGCTTACCTTGCAGGAACCACTATTCCTCATTAGTAACCATCCCCCATTTATCATCCTTTACACAACAAACCATCGCCGTTACTCTATCATTCTTTAACTTATTTTTATAAATTTTAACCTTATGAAATTTAATTTAACTAAATTAATTCAATTTATTTCATGTACTTCCTTGAATTACATTAACATTACTTAATTTACTTAAATAGGTAACACTCAAAAACCACTATTTCCCATCACGAATCATTCCGCACTCATCATTCCTTTCGCAATAGGCCATCGAGGAGGTTCTATTATTCTTTAAATAATTCTAATAAAGTTTAACAATATTTATTGGGTAATACTCGTCATCCGAATAGGAACACTGTTTACTGTAGCAGACTTTATCCGTCGGCTTTCGATCTCGTATCCCACACCTGCTCAGGGCAGCCAACCGATCAGGGACGCCTCACCCAGGTAATACGACAGCCTCACCTTGGAGAGCCCCACCTTCGCGCCCCTGGCGAAATCACAGTCTGTGCTCAGGCCCCGAGCCAAAGAGAGAACGAGGATACAACCCATCACCCCCGCCAAGTGTAGGAGGACAAAAGATAAACGTAAGGCAATAGTTCTCTCCCCTCGCGTCCCCCAGAGACGACCCAACTTTCACCCACACCATCCCCACGGACAAACCCCTTCCTGCTAGTGGAACTCAGAACACTTCACAGTTACACCAGCCTCCACCCGCCCGATTCACATCACAGCTCCTACCGGACAGGAGAGAGAAGAAGCTCAGCGCAGCCTAGAAAGCAATAAGGCTATCGGCAAGATCAACAACAAGGTTAACAGCGACACAGGGAGAACACAGAATACAACCCATAGCCGACCATTATCAAGGGAAAGAAGGGGAAGGAAAACACAGAGGAGGAAATGGCGAAGGAAGGCCTGGGTATGGAAACCCAGAATTGGTTGGCTGAGAAAACGAAGGTGGACATGATCAAAAGGACGGAGGAAGTCGATGATGGGAAGGGAGGCAAGGAAGAGGTGGTGGTATGGGAATACCCTCAGGAAGCATTACCGTGCCTAGATGAATTCTACTCCAAACATGCTGTCCTCTTCACCTTCTCCAAGAAGAGCCAAGAACTCAACAGAGCGAAAAAACTGAAGTGGCTGTGGGAAAAACTCAAGGGCATGGAACCGATTCCGGGGACAGACCCGAAAGTGACTTTCCACAACAGCGGCAGAAACACAGTCATGGTTGTGTGCAAAGATGAAAAGCAGGCAGATTTCCTCAAACATAAATCCTTCACCTGCAATTCATCAGTAGTCTCAGTTTACCCATGGGTGGCTTCCAAAGCATCTCAGGCATCTCCCTCCAGGTACCGCCAGCCGTTGATGCAACAGTACTTTTGGATCCAATTTGATGGCGTACGTGAGGGACTCCATGGAGCTATCAAGGCAAGGCTATAGGAAGAATATGGACAGTTTCCGGTCATGGACTGGATCACCCCCACACCGGACTTCCTAATCCCCCAACACGATACCATGATGGCATGCCTGAACACCCAGGGCGCAGTCCCACCGCAGCTTCCGGAACTGTGGTACTTCGTGGTAAGAGGCCAAACGGTGAAAGTCACAGTGTCGACGGAAAGCAACCCACAGTGCTTCAAAGGCAGACAGAGAGGCCACATCGGAACAGACCCAAGATGCCCCAAAAATGCAGACTCGACAAAGAATAAAACGCTGAAGCAAACCAGCCTAGAGGAAGTTGAGGGGGAGCCGGGCTTCTGGTTTGGCAGAGACGCTAGGTACATTGGATGGGTTTTTAACGATAACCTGGAGACGCCAGACTGGGTGTCGACCTTAGAAGGGGAGCCCACCCCGAGACCGGATATCTACCCCCCGTCAGATAGCAGCTGGCAGACCAAGAATATCGGTAAGAAATCACCCAAAGTTTTCTCCACCGATCAAGTACTAAACAAGGAAAGAGTTCAGGAGGAGAGGAGATTGAGAGATTTGCAAATGGATTTAGACGTAACAGGAGAGTTGGCTGAAAGAAGAAGGTTAGAAGCAGTAAGAGAACGGAGGGAGAACAACGGGTCATCAGTCCAATCAGAGAACAACGCAACAGGCATCATTCAATACACACGCAAAGGGAACACAAGCACAAAACAGGGAAGAGGAACAACCACAGGGGAAAGAGAGAGACAGGAACAAGATGTGGAAATGACCGAAGACAAAAGAATCGGGATCAAAAGAAAGGGGGAGGAATTCACAAAAGAGGACGCCATTGAAAGAGCAACTCATGAAGAGGATGGACTTCTGGAGGAGGACGACTGGGAGAACAGACCCATTGAGAAAATCAAGGAATACATTCTCTCCATGAAGGCCCAACGGGCAAGCATGTTCGAACTACACATGGCTTACGTGAGGGAAGAAGTTAAGGTAAGATGCGACGACATCCCGCTCACAGAGAACCCTTACGAAATACTAGGAAGGGAAGAAGAGATGACAGAATATTACGCTCAACAATACAGCAGGATCAAGAGGGAGCAGACAAGAAAACAAAAAGCAAAGGAGGCAGGAGAGGCCCAAGGAGCAGAAGGGGGATGGAGAGAGGACAGGTACAAGATGCCTGAACTGCCTGAAACCTACAACAAGAGAAGCAAAGAGGAGAAAAGGAAAAGGACAGTATCAAATGGGGACAAGGAAAAGGGAAACAAGGACCAAAGGGGGACCAAGAAGGGGCAGGAGGAAGAAGTCACAAGAGGGAAAAATCTGGGAACACAGCAGGAGTTGGGCGAACAAAACAACGAAAGGGAAACACTAATGGTGCAAGCAGAAGTTCTGGAGGCACAGATTCAATGAGGTTGAAAACAGTCACGATAGGCGCACTAAATGACTGCACCCAATCCGAATTTTGAAACAGAACGGCAGCCATGAGCAAAACCCTCCTTCCCTCGAGAACAATCCTGGCAGTGAGATTTGACATGCAGGAGGAAGAATGGCAGATCGCCACAACAGCTAATTTTGCCCTCCCCAGGGTAGAAAAGGGACAAAACTTGAAGGAGAGACTCTCTTCCATGGTCTCAAAAGAAGAGCCTATCAAAACGGGCCTGGTGGGGGAAGTTTTGAGCGAGCCTACTGCAGGAGGAAAAGGGACACAAAGCATGGAGGGAACACTGGACGTAAGACCATTGGTGGTCATCTACAGCCCTGGCACCACCGTGAGAAGCAGCCTGCAATGGAAACCGTTGTGGCAAATCTCGCGGCTTCCATACACAGCACTCGGCACGGGCGCCTTACCAGAACTTCTAGCAGCAAGTTTGTCAATTCTCTTCGCCATCCGGTTCCACAAGTTGAGCCTAAATGAGTTGGGCAACCTGTTACAGATCCTGCAGGAGGAGGGGGAGGAGGCAACTTTGAGGGGGACCGGATCAGCCTACTCCCCTTGAAATCACACACACCACTCAAAGCAGGGACCTTGAAACACTGAACCATGGAAACAGGGGAGGATCGAAATGAAGGGTGGGAGAAGGAATACAAAAGGGCAAAGAAAAGGCCAGAACTTGACATAAGATCATGGAACGTGCACGGTCTAGCCACCATTTTATCAACCCCTGCGAAATGGTTCAATCTGACAACCAACATCAACTGGTTTGATAACGAACCTCCTGACATAGTTTGTGTTCAGGAAACCCACCTGACTCACTCGGAGGAGCATCAGAAGATACAGACCGAGATGGTAAGGAAGTTGCGGAACGTATGGAGAGCAGAATGGGCCAACAACCCTAACACAGCCTCAGCTGGGGTATTAGTCCTATCCAACAACAGAGGCAAGGCTCGGGAACACCTAAAAATAAGACAAGTAACTAAGGACCCAGTAGGCGGTAGATGGATCAGAATAGAGCTTACCCATCGACAAGAGGAGATAACTTTACTCAACATATACGCCCCAAATACAAATACCCAAAGGAGAGAACTAGTGGAAACGATCAAGCAAGAATGTCCAAACCACCAACACATCATAGCGGTAGGGGACTGGAACGCAACGATAGACCCTCGCCTCGATAGGATCTTCCATGCTAGGGAAGGGTACGACGAAATGGAATCCCTTACTATACTAGACCTCATAACAGAGATGAAATTAATAGACCCGTTCAGAACAAGACACCCAGATGCTAAGCGATTTACTTGTACCAGGAAGACCCTACAGGGAAGGGTAGACCTCTCAAGGATTGACTTCTTCCTAGTCTCGGACTCATTAGCAGGCGCGGTACTAGGGTCAGCTATATTTAGATATCCCTACTACGGGGTTTTGACCATAAACAGATAGGTTTACTATTGAACTTCGGCCTAGATAACGAGCCTGGGAGAGGCTTCTACAAGGTTAATAACTCCCTATTAAGACTGGAAGGGTTCAAAAACGTTGTCAGGCAAACTTGGGAGAGACACACACCCAAGATGCAGGGTGAAAGCATTCTCTCACACTTTGGAAGAGCCTTACGGGAGGTAAGCAAGGAGCTAAGCAGGGAATCAAGGACCGAGGTGAAAAGAAGAAGGGAAAGACAAGAATTGCTGGAATCCATAGTTGAGACGGCAGAGTACAACTTAACACTCAACCCTGGCGCCCCAATGTACGAATCCCTACTCTCGTCAGCAAGGGAAGAGCTGGCAAACTGGGCTGAATGGAAAAGAAGAGGTCTGAGCATCAGAGCAAGAATGAAAGATTGGGAGAGCAACGAGACCATGACCAAACATTTCTTCCAAAAAATCAAAGCAAACAGCAGAACAGCGGAATAACGGAGCTGAAAGACGAGAGGGGAGTAGTCAAAAGCCAACAAGAAGACCTGCTACAAATAGCTACCAATTTCTACAAAAAGTTGTACACATCACAGTCGGATAACGAAGATGGCGGGGCTATAAGGAGAGCAAGAGAGAAWTTTTTGAAGCACCTGGAYACTAGCGTACAACCARAAGCATCAGCCTATSTGGACAAGGACCTCACTCTACCAGAAATACGTAAAGCACTAGACTCTATGCAACCAAACAAAGTCCCGGGCATAGATGGTTTGACAAAGGAATTCTGGCAAGAGTATTGGCCAGTTCTAGGGGGGGGACCTCTTGTGCTTCTTCCAAGAGGCATATCGAAAGGGAGGCCTAGGGGAAGAGATCAGTACGGGGGTAATAACGCTACTCTACAAAAAAGGGGAAAGAGAAGACATAAGAAACTATAGACCAATATCCCTACTACCAGTAGCATATAAGATCTTGGCTAAAGTACTTGCTAATAGAATAAGAAGCATAACAGACAAATGTTTTCACGTGGACCAGACGGGCTTCATACCAGGAAGATTCATCCTAGACAACGTAATYTGTTTAAAGRAAGCAACCAAAATAATACARGATAAGAAGCTACAARCAACCATCCTTTTTTTCGACTTCGAGAAGGCCTACGRCCAGGTCAAYTGGGACTTTCTAYAARAGTGCATGGAAAGAATGGGGGTGGGCCCAACCTTCCGAAGGTGGGTGAGAGTCCTATACGCGGATGCAAGGGGAAGAGTCCAAATAAATGGGCACTTATCAGAGACATATAGAATGACAAGGTCGGTCAGACAAGGAGATCCATTAGCCGCCCCAATATTCCTCTTCGTCATGGAGGCAATCGCAGCCTTCATGAGAAAAGATCCCTCAATAGAAAGGATACAAGCCCTGGACGATGGAAGAAAAAGCCAAATTCAACTCCCTACAGTGATGCTGTTTGCAGATGACCTGACAGTCCTAATAAGGGCTACGGACACATCTTTCCAAGCACTTACAAGAGCCATGCAAGCCTTCCAGCTGGCCTCAGAAATGAGGATAAACTGGAAGAAAACGATCGGGTGGTGGTACGCTGACACCCCCTCCCCACCGCCGACCGAATCCACACAAGGCTTGCAATGGTTGGATCACCAAGTTCCCTTCAAATTTCTGGGCATATCCATAACCATGACAGGAGCCAGTAACTCGATGGCACCGAACCTTTTGGCAGCGGCCATGAATAAATACGTAGGATGGCAGAACACATACACCTCTCTAATGGGGAGGGCCCTAATCATTAATTCCTCGATCTTCTCCATGATCTGGTACACAACTTCAATCTGGGACCCGCCACCAGCCTTCACCAAGAATTTGAGGAGAAAAGCAGCAGCGTACTTATGGACAGGTGACGCTTCAAGAAACCAATTCATAACAAAAGTTGCCTGGAAATACGTCACCAATCCTGYAAGCGAAGGCGGCCTCAGCCTCATAGATCCAGCGACTGAGCACAAAGCTCTCCAGACTAAGTGGATCCTAAGGTTACTTCTGAAATTGGAACTTCCCTGGCAAGAAATGGCTCTCTACCAAATAAGAAACTTAGTGCCATTCAAGGTCCACAGCAACATAGAGGGGCATACATGGCTCATGAACAGACATTGGACACCCAAAAGAGAAGGGAACAKACCCAGACGGAGGAACGACCAACCAAWCGCTGACCCSCCAAGCGGACACTGGTCCAAACTAATTAYCACTTGGAGAGAGGCYTTCCCACAAAGAAGAAGRGGACCAAGGACAAAAGAAGAAATYCTGYGTCAACCTCTCTTTGGAAATGATTTGCTAAAAGACCAAGACGGGAAGGCATGGTCCCTCAATGGAAGAGGAAAGAAATGGAGAATCTGGATGGAAAAAGGAATATGGAAAATTGAACACTTATGGGAGGATCAAAAGGGCCAATGGAAGTCAGAAGGGGACCTCAGGTGCATCCTAAAAGGTCACCACAACCTACAGACAAACCTGAAGGAGCTAATAGACAGCATCCCAATGGCCTGGAGAGCAACACTAAAAAAGAGGAGAACATGGAAGAAGGGCGATTGGGCAACTCTGTTGACTCAGAGCACTCCGTCGGTGGCTCTCCGCTTCATAAGGTACTCAACACCAGATAGAAACACAGCTTTATTTGAGATACACAAATTAGAAGACAAAAACAAATCAATAGTCGCAGCCAGGAAAGAAGCATTAATAACACTGGACTTCAGCATCAGTGAATTGCGTAAAGTCAGAGAGCTGGAAAGCAGGCAAAGAAGCCCAAGGAAGGGGAAGGAAGAGAGGGACGCCCCCATCTGGCTGTTCAAACCTAACAAAGACCTATCGGAATTAGAAGTGGACCCCAACGAATGGGGATGGTATGAGAAGAGAGGGCGTGGATCCCCTTGCACGAATATACACCCAAAAAGGGTTACAATATTAGACGCAAGGCAGAAAACCCTCAGCCCACCATAGCAGCTAGATGGGAAAAGAACCTACAAATCGACCCCGCTGCCCTCCAGACAATACCATGGTCTTTTTATGCCTCCATTAAACCTCAGCGAGTAAGGAGCCTCCAATGGTTGATCCTCTACCTAGCAGTCCCTGTTAATGCGTGGCTAGACTCAAGAAGAAAAGAGGAGGACAGGGCTGAAACGTCAGCTCACTGCCAGATGTGCCAAGAACAGCAAAGGGAGACCTTAAGCACTGCTTCCTGCACTGTCAGCATGCCAAATCCCTCTGGGACAAGTGCAAAAGAGCATGGGCCAAACTATCCCCCAAAGAATTCCCCACAGATCAGCTCTTCCTCTTGACAGCAATAGACCGCGAAGGCATAATCCCCGAAAARGACAGAGGAATCATAGAACTGCTGAGAAGGACGGTCCTATGGGTAATCTGGAGAGCTAGATGCGCAGGCACAATTAGCAAAAAGAAAATATCAACAAATGAATCGTGGGAGGAAGCAAGAGAAATGGTGGAAACAGGAATCCGAGTGGAATGGAAGCAAACCCTGAGCAAGATGGAAAAGGAAGTGGAAGCACAGAAAAAGAACAAATTACAGAAGGAATTTGAGGGGGTTTGGCTAAAAGAAGGACTATTAGCGCGAGTATCAGGCAGAACACTACTTTTCTCAGATTGGTGGGGTCCAACTACACCAAGGGAAGAACCAGACGGAAGTACACCAATGGACCTGGAGTGAACGGATAATGCATACCTCCCCACTCAGTCCCCTAAAGGAAACACGTTACACGAAGGGTTTAGGACTGAGGAACCCGAGGAGAATAACCAATCTACACCTAGAACGTACCCGGGAAGATCCAATGGAAGACAAGACAGGAAGTGACAGAGAAACCGAAAGAGAATCACAAACAGAAAACAGAGACATGAACCTAAAATTGGATAGGGGGTGTTATATCTTCGACGCCACACGGGTCCTACCGGACCCGACATAGGAGTAGAGGGACACAGTAGGGCCAAAGGCCCGACCTTGGGGGTACTACAGGCCGTAAAGGCCTTACCTTGGACCAGACCCGACGGGCCGGCCCAAACGATATTACCGTTTGGGCCTGGCGGCGCTCTTGAGGCTGAACCGTCCATCTGGACGGTTCAGGGCACGGTCAGGGCTCGCAGCATAGAGGCCGACCTCTGCCCACCGGTACAAAAGTACCGGTCCAGCCTCAGTGAGGCTATCGACCTACTGGCACTCTACCAGTACGGTATGGTACAGCGCACATTAGCGCTGGCGCTATCTTTAGCGCAGGAGCAGCGAGGAGCAGCGCAGCTCAGCATTAGCGCAGCAGCGGCGAGCGGAGCAGCAGCAGGGCGACTGAGCCAGACCGGCGGCCATCGCCGCCTGAGGTATCAGGGAGCCGGAGGTTCTATCCTCCCTCCCATCGTCAGTCCCCTCTCTCTCTCTCTCTCCTCCTCGGCTCCTCCTTCTTCTTCTTCTTCTTCTTCTTCTTCTTCTTCTTCTTCTTCTTCTTCTTCTTCTTCTTCCTCTTCTTCTCTTCAGACTCCATAAATTCTTCTTCTTCTTCTTCTTCTTCTTCTTCTTCTTCTTCTTCTTCTTCTTCAGACTCCATCTTCTTCTTCTTCTTCTTCTTCTTCTTCTTCTTCTTCTTCAGATTGGAGACTTATACTAGTGGACAGAGATCAGTGTTGGACTTTGCTGGTATGAGACTGTGATACTTACCGGATTGGAGACTTGGAGATTGTTGGGGTTGATACTTGGCGGCATCACAGTTCGGACACCGGTTACATTTGGACTCTGTATCTCCGACATTGGTGACTGATTGTCCTCGACAATTTGATCTTGTTGGATGACAT